TGTATACACATATAATATATATATATATATATATATATGTACATACAGTTTAGTGTTTCAGGATCCCGACAGATCTTTCCAAAAGCTGTTGGGAGATCTGTATCTGCATGCGCGGCCTGTCGGCAGAGGTTTTTGTCCAGCCCGAGGCTGTCTGCAACCATGCCAGTGACCTTGGAACAGGACGTCGAGGGCTCAACACTTACACATTAAGTTTAGGGTCGCGGGAGCCTTCTTGGTCAACTCAGCAAATCCACCTGGGTCCCGGGCATTGGTGGAAGGAAAAGCTGCGCCCATCGCAGGATGCAAGCTGAAAGCACATGCACGCAGTTTGTTTGTTTTGCAACTGTGGAATATGATGGGCTTCGCTTGCACGGCACTTACAAACGCCAGGTGACGATGTGGCAGCTGGAACAGTCCTCTCCGCTGAGACAAGCTGGTAGATGTTGGCTGGGTCGTTGCTGGCACAAAGCTTGCTTTCAGGGGGTGTTGTGGCATCATGATGCTCGTCTGCACATGCTGTTTGTTTTACACTGTTGCCTCTGGAAGAGAAAGCCTGCCAATAAGCCAACCAACAGGGTGCGCTGCAAGAGCCTGCAATTTGAATCAATCCTCCAACCAATCGCAGTGAGCCAGGCGGCAGTGTCAGCATCTGAGGCCTAAAGTCTTACAGCGTTTCGAATCTAGGCCTTGCCATTGACCAGGAGGGACGGCACAGGCACACCTGGCAAGGGCCGACTCGGAATCCTTCAAGAGGAGTGCTCAGGGGCACCTGTGGAGGCCACATAGTCGCTGCAATTCGCCAAGTAGGCCCCGGGTCGGGAAGCATTCCTGACGTTGAAAGACGCCGAAATAAAGGCTCAGAACGCGGGAGCTGTTCCGTGTCGGGCCTTTGCACCTCACCCCAGAGAGGCTCCAGCGTTGCGCGGTCGTCCTGAAAGACTGCAGCGGACCTCCACCTGAACCCAGGTGATGCCAAGCAGGTGCACCTTCTTCGCGCTGGAGAGCCAGAGCTCTTTGATCTTCTCCAGACCCTCCTGGCACCAGATCACTGAAAGAAGGCCTGGCCTCGCCATTCGGAGAGGCTCCACAAGCTCAAAGCCGGTCGGGGCTCCTTGGTATCTGGCCACTTCGTCAAGCTCTCGGACGCGAGGTTCTTCTGCGCCCACTGGCCAGCAGAATCGCAGTTTGGGGACAAAGGACTCCTTCCTGTCGTGACGTCTCTGAGGACACTGACCCCGACCCGAGGTACGAGATCCCTGAAAGGTGAACATCAACCGCCACCCACCGGTTGACATGACAGGTGCCTCCTTGCAGCTACCCTTGCTTTCAGCCTTAAAGCCACTGTCCCCCGCACAGAAGGCATCCCCCAAGAAGGAAAGCCCGGCGAAAACAATCATCACGTTCAAGCCACCTCTGCCGCAGACGAGATGAAACTCTGCGCCCTCTTTCGGCCCTGCAGGACAGGATTCGCACTACCTCTAGGGTCAATCTGGGATGTTGTATTGCTGTTGCTGCTGGAAATGTGCTAAGGCGATTCCATTCGCACCACTACAGAGGATACTTTCTCATGCCACCACTGCTACGAAAACGGTTGCAGCCATGATGATCTGAACAGTACCGTGATCTTTGCCACTAATGCATACCAAGAGTAGTGACTAGTGCTCCAGCTGCCAATGTCCCGACTGTTACCGGTCTCCGTTCCTCCCAATCCGGCCACTGCTGCCATGATGACTCCCAGTCCGCGCTCCCGTACATGAAGAGCTTCGATACACCCTGTATACTGCTACAGCCCATTCCAGAGTCCAGGGTCTCAAATGAACAGAAGGCCAGCAAGTCAGATGCTCAACTTGCATCCCGCAGCTCTTGGCCTCGAAGCTATCGCTGGCGGAATTGGGAAGGGTAGACCAAAAGAGCCATGGCATAGGTCGTGTTGAGTCCCTACTTCTCAGGGGCCTTCTGCAAGGAGTGCGCGTAGGCCACGGCCAAGGCGACGGCGGCCTCGCTACCGCCGCTGGGCCTGTGAAGCCAAGGCTTCCTACTCTGGAATATGGGGACGATCACAGTGATGACGACAGCAACGATGATGCACCCAAGGAGGGGAGGAGGATTTTTCAGAGTAGGGGAAGGAGTGTTCCCGCGAGTCCTATCCGGCTATCCGGTACATGCGCCTATCCAAACCAGAGTTCTCCACCCCGGAGTAGCACTCGGGCTCACTCCCACAAATTCCCGAAAATCTCGAGACGACAACCCCAAGCGGCAAGCAACTTTCGCATTGGGACGTGCACAGGCCCAGACGGCCCGAAAACTTCCTGCCTGCTGTCCCTCAAGGACACCATGCGCTAGAAAGAATAATCTAATGGGCCGAGCTCTGTATTTTCTTCGAAGATACGGGCTCGGAAATCGAGAATATCCAGGCGACAACCTGCAAAATTGCCAACTGATGAGTGGTGAATGTCATCACCGTCGCCCCGGGTAGGGCAGGAAAACATGTGCATGGTGGCAATGTCCACGCAATCAGAACGTTGTTTCTCGTCTTTTCCATCAAAGCAACGGGCGGGACATCACCATGTGAAACTGCACAAAGACATGATTACTGCTAATCTAAAGAAATGAGAGCTGCTTTCGCAACAGTGCGCTGGCCCTCACATCGTCTGAACACCCAAGCAACTTGCCAAGCTCCCCATCGCCCTGAGGCAGATCAGTAGTGCTTTTTGTGGGATTCCCGTTGCAAAAAACACTGCCAGAACAGCTGCGAACCCTTGGAACCTTGGCCTCCACGGGGATCAACACATCCTTGGCTTCAGCATGTGGATTGAAGGCTTGTAGCAACAAGGGCACTGGCAGTAGTGGTCGTCGTCGTCCCCTCGCATTAGTAACGGTAACGAGTAGCTGAGTAGTTGATTCCAACTCTCCGGCACGCACCCTCTCTATGCTATTCCCGCCATAGCGAGGCCCCGCATGTTCTTCGCCTAGTAAGGTGAGACAGGATGCCTACTGGTACTGTGCTTGCTGAGTAGTCTTGTTCTCAATCATGCCACTGCAAATTCAACAAGTTGAGCTCAAGCAAACGACTTCTTGTGCCACCCTGGGACATTCCGGGAGGTGAAGGCTTCACAGGCGGAGAAACAGCCGAAGCAGCTCCTGGTCGAGAATGTCATCATTAGGAGTAGAAATAGACCTAGTAGGAATAGAAGTAGGGGTGTAGTAGTAGTAGTAGTAGTAGTAGTAGTAGTAGTAGTAGTGGTAGTAGTAGTAGTAGTAGTAGTAGTGGTAGTAGTAGTAGTAGTAGTAGTAGTAGTAGGTGCTAGTGCTAGTGCTAGTGCTAGTGCTAGTGCTACTGCTACTGCTACTGCTACTGCTACTGCTACCACTGCTGCTGCTACTACTACTACTACTACTACTACTACTACTACTACTACTACTACTGCTACCACTACG